CAGCATGACCATCTGCCCTGGGGTGGTTATTTCTTCCTTTCTGTCTTTTTGTCTCTGTCTGTCTTTCTGGTAAGTGCACATGCCCTATAGCAAAAACCTTAAAAAAAAAAAAAGCCTCATGATTACCCAAAAACCCAATATATACATATGGATACTTCAGAAAATTCATGGAAAAATAAAGTATAAGTTTATTTTGGTGCAAAAAAAGTTTGACATCTACACATAGTTTTTTCATGATATGTGTATTTCTGGGTTGTAGAATTTCAGGAGATATTTACACTTTAATGTATTGGTTTACTTTTTATCCAAGTATTCTATTTGTCTGATGCCTATCTTTCAGATAAAATAGTTTCGAAGTGTATTTGTTTTATAGGAGAAACACTACTTATGTCCATTAGAAATTTTATTTTATTTATTTATTTATTGAGAGGTTTTTGCTATAGGGCGCGTGCGCTCGCCAGATAGACAGAGACAGACAGAGAGACAGCGAGAAATCACCCCCCAGGGGGGATGGCAATGCTGCAGTCCCTTCTCCTCCATTCTCCTCTCAGGATCTTAGGCACGCACACATATGCACCTAGTCCGGGTCCGGGACGTGAACCACAGTCAACTATATGGGAGTCCAGCGACATAGCCGCTACGCTCACTGCTGGTCCCTCCATTGGAAATTTTATTGAAAATACACAAATGTTCAATAAATACTTTTACATCTAAAAGCATATACAACTTTTAAGATATATAAACTGAAAAGGAATCTAACAATACAGGCTGACTTCTACTTAGAACCAAACTCTGCATATTGAAATGAAATCTTCAGGAGAGAAAGTTGTTCCTTTTGGCCATGGTCAGTCAGTTATGGTCAGGAGCCACTCCTGCCTATCAGGGAATGTTCCCAGAGAAGGGTAATTGACAAGCCATGTTGCCCCTGCAGCAGTGTGTACTGGAAAGCACACTGGGGACCAGCAGAGGGCATAATGGTTACATTGCAGCATTCCCATTTAGTTCACCATAGTTCGAGTCCCAGACGTGGTGGCTTAAAACTCACATCAGGCGCGCGCGCGTGTGTGTGTGTGCGCGCGCGTATGCGCGCACGCATGCCCAAGGTCCTGAGAGGAGAATGGAGAAGGGATTGCAGCATGGCCATCCCTCTGGGGTGTGATTTCTTGTTTTCTCTTTCTCTGTCTTTCTGGCAAGTGCATGCACCCTATAGTAAAAATGTCTCTCCAAAAAAAAAAAAAAAATTGTGTGTGTTCACCTGAGAGAGAGAGAGAGAGAGAGAACTCTCCAATGGGTGTGGTCTTGCTGCAATGATTTTTCCTCCTTTCTGTCAAGGTTTTAGGTACAGACCAGGCAGTGGAGCTTTCAGAGCAGGGAAATATCTTGATCATATTTATTTTGGGAGGATAATTCATTTGGAGAAAGTCATGATGGCAGAGAGACCAGACAGGGAGAATGATGTTTCAGTAGTCCACCAAGGAAGGGGCATTGAGCTTTTTTGTTTTAACTGAGGAGTAAAACACAGTCTTAGATATACAGCTTCAGGATTTATTTTTTTTACCTGTGCATGTACTGCGTACCTCTCTAAGATGCAGACTATTTCCAGTCTCCTTAGGATTCCCTGGTGACCCACTAGAAGCTCCTGTATTAAGGCGCACAGTAGAGCACAGGAATTCACTAGCCAATCTAGGTGGGAGGCAGGAAAGTCAGGTAGCGCTGAAGATGACTCCAGACTTGGGAGACTGGGTAGACTGGTGGTGATGCTTTCAACCAAAATAGTAACATAATAGAATAAGGTTTTAATTGAGATGGTGAAACAAGAGGTCAGCTTTAGACTTGCTGAGTTTGAAGTGCCCGTAGAATGTTGAGTGGAGTTACATAGGTGGCAGGTGGAAATATGAAATTGAAGGTCTGGAAGGAAATTTGGGATGCAGCATATATATTTGTGTACTCATCTCATAGAGAAGTCTTTGGAGAAGCTTGCGATACCAAGATGACCTCAGGTTATGCTGGTAGGCATACGCTGCTTTCCTAATGTTGTAGTCACGCACCCGGTGTGAGTTTTAAGCCACTGGGTCCAGGACGCGAACCACGGTCGACTACGTGGGAGTCCAGCGACATAGCCATTATGCTAACTGCTGGTCCCGATTCATTTATTTTCATTTGACCAGAGAGAGAGGGAGAGAAAGTGGGCAAGTAAGCCACCAGGTCCAGGACTTGAACCATGGTCGGCCATGTGGGAGTGCCCAGCGCCTTAACCACCACACCACCTGCTGGTCCCGATTTACTATATGACTTTAACACTCAGAGTTTATATATATGCTCACGTGTTGTTTAGAGTGAAGATCTCATTGGCAGTCCACCTGAGACTAAAAGGTGTGTCAGATCTGCATTCTAAGAATGCCCTTGGGCCAGCAGGGGTCACGGTGGTTAAGATGCTTGACCACAGTTCGAGTCCTGGATCTGGTGGCTTGTTTTTTCTCTTTCTCTGTCTCTCTCTGTCAAGTGCACATGCCCTGTAGCAAATTTAAAAATAATAAATAAATAAATATTTCTTTAAAAATAAAAATGCCCTGACAATTATATAATCATTGTAATTTATTTAACTCTTCTTTGCCATAGAACTTATTTTTTTAAAAGTAAAAAAAAAAAATTTAATTCAACAAATATTTATTTGACTCCTATGAAGCGCTTCCGTTTGTAATATTATCAGTAATAAAAGGAAATGTTATAGTAAGTGCTAACTACTTGTTTACAATAAATAGTGTCCCGGGAGCTAGATAGACAATAATGGATAAAATAGGCCTGGTACTTTCCCTCATGGAATATTATACATGGATATGATGATAATAGCTTTATTACTGTTTGAATCATATGAAATATAAATTTTTTGAGTCCTGAGACTTTTTCCACACAGAAGAGGTTTACGTATCTGCTGACCTGTTCATCTTCTCCTGCATGACCACTCTCTTGTGTTTTGACTGAAACCTTATCCCCAAAGTCACTTTATGGTTGAACCTCAATTCTCCCAGATACATTTAATTTTAAATAAGAGTTTGATAAAATCACACTGTATTTAAAAAACAAGCCAGTGGTTTAACTTCCTCCTTCCTTGCTAGTCCAACTGCGGTATAAATTTACTTGGTCCCAATGGTTTGGGTGTGTTTGAAATCAAGGCAGATATCTTTAAAAACTGATCCGCCTACTGCATTCCTGACATACTACTCAGTGGCACACTAGTTAGAGACTGGTAGGGCCCTAAGAAAGTCCTGATTCTCAGTGATAATGTACAGTTGAGTAAATAGCTTACACAGTTTTAGAGTTAAGGAGAATTTGATGCTGGCTTTAAACACAGCATTCTAAGGCAAAATATTCTCAGCTATGGTTTTTTTTTGTGTTTTTTTTTTTTTTTTGGAGAGATTTTCACTGTAGGGCGCATGCGCTCGCCAGACAGAGAGAGACATAGAGACAGAAAGTGAGAAATCACCCCCCAGGGGGGATGGTCACGCCGCAATCCCTTCTCCTCCATTCTCCTCTCGGGATCTTGGGCACGCACGCACACGCGCCCGGCGTGAGTTTTAAGCCACCGGGTCTGGTACACGAACCGCGGTCGACTATGTGGGAGTCCAGCGACATAGCCATTACGCTAACTGCTGGTTCCCTCAGCTGTAGTTTTTTAAAGACATGAGCAAAATGTAATTTTTCTTGTAGTTTAAGCTGCTTTTGACTTTGCTTTGACTGTCTTAACAGCTGCTCTTTATTTTTCTAAACACTTTTTTGTTCAGATATTGGCTCATTTCTTGTTCTCTTGTCCTAAACACAACCTTACTCCCATCTAAAAGTTTAAGTATTAAATATTGATACAAACTAACCCCCTCCTCCCCTTTGGAGAAGAAATGAAGACCTGAATAAGTTTTATAAATAGTTCTCAGAAGTTCTTGTTTATGCCATCAAATAGAATCCATACCAACAAATTCCATGTGTCATGCCTATGCACATGCCTTTCCTTTGTCAAATACAGCTGTCTTTCCAAACTGTTACAACGCGAGGCATTCAAACAGCTTTCCAAAACTAACACTATCAGGAGAGATATTCTAAAATATCTTTATTCCTGGGATATGTGTATTAACTAATTTGTATAGTTACATACAATTTTATTAATTTGTTTGCATTGAATCTCTGGTTAGGTTACTTGGAAGGGCAAGAGAGGATGTTTTACTTCTTCAGGACTTTTCATAACTCTAGTATAATGCTTAATTGACAGCATACTCCTAATACATGTTTATTGACCATCCTTGAAACAAATGTAGTCATTCGTTTCAAAGTTAAGGTTAAAGTTAACAGCAATTTCTCTAGTAGATTTCTTTTGTAAAACAAAGTTTCCATTAAAATTGACCAAAAAGTAAGGAGTTACAATTAATCTATGAGATCAAAGGTAAACTAGCTTGTTACTTGTTTATTAAAATCCAAGTGTCTCAAAAGATGAAAACAAGGGATAATCCTACCATTTTTGGAAGTAGATACTTAAGATGAAAGGGGGCAGAATGAATTTGTCACAGTCGCTGATCATTTTAAGTTTCCCCTCTTGTGATAGGGTTTCCTTTCTTTCTAGTATTATACAGTGCTGGACCACAGTTACATATACATTGCACTTTTGTGCATAATTTATTTTGTTATCACCGACAACAAAGGTTAACATGAGCCATGTGTTTTCACAGGGGCTGAGGGCTGATAATTATTTGGAATACTATGGCTGGGTGGCTTTAAGAATGTGCAGTAGTAAAACATTTACAAATACCTGTTGTATGTTCTAAAACTGAATTTACTTTTGAACTTTTTAAAGGTTATTTATTTTTCTTCTACAAGAAAGCGTATCTCCAACAGGATCTTTATGCTGTGATCCAACCTCCGCCATCCGTGGGTCTTGGGGCCTGCGTGTGCCTAGTGTACTCAGGGAGGTCTCTGGGTACACACCAGGAATCTTCCCTTTTGGGATTGCCTCTCACACTAACAAGATGTCACCGTGCCACTGGCCCCTGCTTCTGAACTTTCAGTCATTTTTATCTGTACGCTAATACAGTATTTATCAAGATAGGCTTTCCCTTTGTTGTTTTATATTTTTGTTTTCTTTATTAGTAAAAAGGAAATTATGCTTTCTTTAGTCATAGCATTTTAAGATCTACTGCAGAAAATCAATCGCTGATAAAAATCTTTGTTAGGTGTTGTTCTAAGGCCACCTTCTCTCCCCCCGCCCCCGCTCCTTTTTCAAACTGTCTGAAATATATATAATGTATAAAATTTTTTTTGAAAGCAAGTATGTCCTGCTTAGATCTCAGTGTTTGATTTGACTGTTAGATACAAAATTCTGAAAGCATAATTGTATGAATCTCTGAGGACTTTTATATTCAAGTGAAACATCTTTCTTACCGTGACTGAAGTAAACGATTTTGACGTCTCTTTTAGGTCCATCATGTTACACAGAATGGAGGCCTGTATAAAAGGCCATTTAATGAAGCGTTCGAAGAGACCCCAATGCTGGTTGCTGTGCTTACGTACGTGGGGTATGGTGTGCTCACCCTCTTTGGATATCTTCGAGATTTCTTGAGGCACTGGAGAATTGAAAAGTGCCACCACGCAACAGAAAGAGAGGAACAAAAGGTAATTGTTAGAGAGTCTTTGATTCTGTAAATGGAGCCCTTTTTTAGAAATCTTAATGTTTTTCTTAAAAAATCTTAAAAAAGTTTTTCTTTAGAAATTTGGGTATATATTACAATGAAAGTGTTCTAGATGCTAGAAGAAAGCACATTTCTGGAATGTTCTCTTTTCTAAGCACAGGTTGAAAACATGGAGACATGCAAAAGCATTTAATGTATTTTAAACTTAGTATAGAAATCTAGTGAGGCAGGCAGTGCTGTTTCTGCCTGAGGGGGAAAAAAACTAAAATTCACAAGTGAGTAATGCTTCTTGACATGCCCAGTGTCAGAACTGGTATCTAGACACAGAACGATGAAGTGCTCGAAGCTGCGTTCATTCTGTTCACACTGCCATGCGGTGTCCCAGCTTGTGTTTATGATTTCCTGAAATTGCGTCCTCTAGAAGTCACGATGTTTTTGCTTAGAGTCACATTATGCATAGTCGTCTCGCTCAAAGATAACTCCTCTCCTCTCACCAAACAAACAAGCCCTAAAGCAACGTGGGGGAGCGCCCTGTTCACAGTGGAAAGCGGGAGAGCTTCCGTTCACAGTGGAAAGCGGTCTTGGGTTAGCCGTGGTAAACAGAGAGGATGCTGTTGTCTGCAGGGAGGAGGACCTCCTTCACTTGGCTTCACCGCACCTCTCTGTGTCCTCCTGTGTGTCATTAGAGTTTTATACAGTACACATGCATTACCTCTTCTCAGATAAAACTAGGGTCAGAAATGTCAGTTTCTCTTGGCATGTGAAGTAGGGAGCGGTTATCCTGCAGCCCAGGGAATGTACCAGATGAGAGAAAGGGTTTGGTGTTGTATTTCCGTCATTGAGCGTATGTCTCACTTGGTGGGGCGTTGGGGGAGAGAGGCAGGTGTGGGGGCAGCAAGGTCACCACTGAGAGCAGGGCCAGTAAACACTGGTTACATGAGAACCTTCCTGGAATGGCAGGAAGGGAAGAGTGCACCAAGAAGACAGGAAAGACAAAGCCGGTCAGTAAATGTATGGATTAAGGGTTCCGGCCCTTGGGAGAACTCAGGGTCAGTACCTTTCTCTCATCTCAACCATTTCACACCCACTTCCAGCCCCAGCACCACGAATCAGCCATCCTACTCATTGTCCTCAAAGGCCTGCAAATTAATATCGTTGAAGAGTTATTTCTGAATACCTAATACAAGCAAGGCCTTACATTCAGAACTCAGTCTAGTAGGCCAGACAAATTTTCATCATTGAAAACTCACTAAAGTTCTAATTCTTTATTGCTAGAGAGCACATGCACTTGCCACAGAGAAAGAGGACTCCCACCCCACCCCGGCACCATGGAGTATGGTGACACTGAAATCCTTTTTCCTCCATTTCTCAGCTGCTGGGGCTGGGATTTGAACTGTACTTGGCCACGTAGGATCTGACTTCCTTTATTCTGTTCTTCCCTCTTTTCCTATTTTAGTATTTTCACACACATTTTTTCTTCTTTTAATTTTTTTTTTTTTTTTTTTTGGCAGAGGGTGTGTGCACCAGAGGTAGAGAGAGAGAGAGGAGAGAGAGAAGAGAGAAAGAGTAGGAGAGGAAAAGTAAGAAAACATCCCCCATGGGGGCATGGTTATGCTACAATCTCATCTCCATTTCTCCTTCTTTTTAGGGTTTTGGGCACACACATATGTATGTCAGGAGTGTTTTTCAAGCTTCTGGGTCCAAGACTCAAACCACAGCCTCAGCTGTACGGGATCCAGCCACCTTAGGCACCAGGCTGGGCTGGCACTTGGCTGGCTGACTGACTGGCTTCCTTTTCCTTTTTTTTTTTTTTTAAAGTTTTTTGCCATAGTGTGTGTGAACTAGCCAGCAAGAGACATAGGAAGAAATCACTCCCCGAGGGAGATGGCTATACCATAGTCCCTTCTCTTCCATTCTCCGGGGGTTTGGGGCACACATGCACATGTACCCGGTGTGATTTTCAAGCCACTGGATCTGGGACTCAGATCACAGTTGACCATGTGGGAGTCCAGCACCTCAACCACCATGCCACCTGTTGGCCCTTCCTTTCCTTTTCTTCTTCCCTTCTCCGCCCCCTGCCCCCCAGTGGGCAAGTCCACTGACCAGAGAGAGACAGAGAAGGAGAAACCACCCCCCAGTGATGGATAGTTACTCTGAAATACTTTCTTGTCCATTTCTTTATCTCATTAGGATTGGAGCACACACATACATGTGGCTAACATGTTTTTTAAGCTGATGGGGCTGGGATTCAAATTGCAGTTGACCATATGGGATCTGGCTCCTTAACCACTAGGCAGTGAGACCAGCCTATGGAATTTGGCTTTCAGCGCATAGCACTTAACCACTGCTGACCCCAAATAAATACAAAAACTTCTTTAGTTTTCCTCTTCTACCCCGAGTGCATCCGCAGATGTTAATTTTGTACATCCGTCATCTACGTATCACACTGCACACTGACAGTGTCGTACAGGATGGCAGTTACTTCACAGACCTGTGTCCCCCAGACTGAGTTGATGACGGATGGTTGTGACTGATGGTAGCTGAAGTTTCATTTATGTATCCAAACTTAAAAATCTTTGTCTAGGGGCCAACAGGTAGCATGGTGGTTAAGGCACTGGACTCCCATATGGCCAACCATGGTTCAAGTCCTGGACTAGCGGCTTGCTTTCTCACTTCCCTCTCTTTCTTTCTATGTGTGTATCTATCTGGTCAAATTAGGATAAATGAAGAGGGGCCAGCAGGTGGTGTGGTAGTTAAGGACGCTGCACTTCACACAGCTGACCGTGGTTTGAGTCCTGGACCTGATGACTTGGTTTCTCACTTTCTCTCTCTCTCTGTCCCTCTCTGATCAAATTAAAAATAAATAAATAAAGTTAAATAAAATAATTATTTTAAAAATAAATGAATAAATAAAATCTTTTAAAAAAATCCCTGTCTACAGTGATCTTTCATAGTGTAGACGCAGTGTAGACTTGTAAAGGTGTGGTGAGGGAAGTGCTGGTTACAGTGTAGACAGATCATTCCTGACAGAGGAGATGGTGCAGGCAAAGGCATGAGGACTGTTTGGGAGAACTTATAGAGAGGATATGCGAGAAATTGTGTTTTGAGGAGGAAAGTGTTAGCTTAGGATCATAAAAAGCAAATAAAATGTTTCCACTTCCTCACTTCACTGAGTAGTATTCATGACTGCATCCTGATTTTCTTCCTCATTCCAAAATAGAAGAGACCCAGTTTAACCATCTGTGCTACTTCTTTTTTTCTTGTTTTAGTTTTGATATAGGGCGCTTGCATTTGCCAGAGAGAAACAGAATTCTTTTTTTTTTTTTTGAAATAGGGAAATACTGGGTAGATCTGAATCACACGGTCATTGAAAAAGATGAGTTACCATAGTTTCTGTTTTATATAAGTTACATGAAATTCATGGAATTCCTTACCCCTTTATCTGCTGTTATTAGTGGTGTTTTGGATTAGTGGTTGTTTCTCTTAGTCTCTGGGTTGGTTTTTTGTTTGTTTGTTTGTTTGTTTTGTTTTTTTATGTGAAGTGAAGCTAGTAGTCCAGAAACATGGATGTGATAGGTACAGTAAAAGCTTGAATTAACCAAAACATCCCAATATCCAATAGGAGATACCTGAAACTCATTATAATGAGTAAATTAGAGTAGGTAGTTATTTACTAAGCTTTGTTCATGATCAGATATTTAACTTTTTTGCTTTGGAGAGGTTTTTGCTATAGGGCGTGTGTGCTCACTAGAAAGAGAGAGACAGAGAGACAGAAAGTGAGAAATCAGCCCCCAGGGGAGATGACCATGCTGTAATCCCTTCTCTTCCATTCTCCTCTTGGGATCTTGGGCACGCACACACACGCACCCGGCATGAGTTTCAAGCCACCAGGTCTGGGACATGAACTGTGGTCGACTACATAGGAGTCCAGCGACATAGCTGTTACGCTAACTGCTGATCCCTAATCTCTTAGTTTAAGTTTTGAAACAATTTTTGTCATGCTTCAGTTATTTCTAGATCTTAGAGATAGTTCTTCCTCTAGTAGCAAAGACATTGCCCAAATAAAAATTCAAAGTGCTATGGACTTTTTTGCTAGCCTGTCTTTGGTATACAGTATTATATTTATTGCTATCAAGAATTTTGAAATCTGGCACCAGCAGTTGGCATAATGGCTATGCCACTGGACTCCCATGTAGTCGACTGTGGTTGGAGTCCCAGACCCAGTGGCTTAAACTCATGCCGGGCACGTGTGCGTGCTTACCCAAGATCCAGAGAGGAGAATGGAAGAGAAGGGATTGCAGCGTGGTCATCCTGCCGGGGGGGTAATTTCTTGCTTTCTGTCTCTGTCTTTCAGGCGGACACACGTGCCCTATAGCAAAAGCCTCTCAAAAAAAAAAAAAAATCTTGAAATCTTACAATAGTACATAATACAAAACAGCATTCGTGTGTTTTCAAAGATAAAGTTTACAGATGTGAAGCTTTCAGTGTCAGTGACTCAGAGTTCTGAAACACTTTGATCTTTTCTAGATAGATAAGTGTCTTAGTACCATCAGACAAAGGTCTCCTTGTGATTGGATGTGAACCTAAATAAATTTAGATGCACATATTTCCAGAGTGAGGCTGTTCAACAAACTCTTTCATATAAAACTTTCTGAGTAAATGATATAAAGGGAAAATATTCTTTCCTCTGTATCTGAAATTTGGGATTTACTTAATTGGAATACATTCTTTCCATTATTTCTTTTTCTTTTTTTGAGGGGGGGAGGAGAGGTTTTCGCTATAGGGCGCGTGCGCTCGCCAGACAGACAGAGAGAGACAGAGAGACAGAAAGCGAGAAATCACCCACCAGGGGGGATGGCCACGCCACAGTCCCTTCTCCTCCATTCTCCTCTCGGGCTCTTGGGCACACACGCACACGTGCCCGGTGTGAGTTTTAAGCTACCGGGTCCAGGACGCAAACTGCGGTCAACTACGTGGGAGTCC